TCCGAAATTTGTTTGATGTCTTGTTTCTCAAGTTGGGCGATCACCATCTGTGCTAGTTGCGCTTGGCTCTTCTTTATACCATTCGTTGCGGCTTCAAAACTGACGAACCAAAGTCGTGGTTTGTCTCTCCAAAACGGTGGTATTCTCAACAATAGAGATATACCAGCGATTTCTTGTTCCTTGACCGGGTTTGATGTATGTGTGTCGGATTTCTTCGCTTCTTGCTCCATAATGACGGCTTGATTACACTGATTTTATATATACTGAAGTCTTCCTTGGTATTTTTCCTACTATTCTTACAGGGATCTTCCTTTCGGTGTTCATAACGGGGTCACCACTGTAATAGTGGTGATATGAGGTCCACTATTAACAAACTCCGAGTTGTCTAGTGGCGGAGAAATGAAACTACTATTTTATATGCAAACGAATGGTGTATCGAGTATGGAATATGGAATATATTTTTACGTCAACCCTGCCTATATTTATATGTCCGGCTACGTCGCTAGTTTACCAATAATAACAATTTTTATTTGCCTAGCCAATTACAATTCTTACATTATGACCAATAAAGATTAATCAAAATACAACTGTTATGTGCGTTCCATTTGCCGGCGTGAGACTCGTGTATATCTTCTCGTAGCTACGTCGCTGGACTGGGCTATAAAAGTTGTGCAGGCCGGCGCGCGCGCGTTGTCGGCGAGCGGCGGCGGCGTGGGACACAGCTCTGGAACAGCAAGAAGAAGCGAAGCTGCGGCGTTGAAGAAACGGCACAAAATGGTCGACGGATACATAACGACAGCGGCGTGTGAAGACGATGTGGCGCTGAATGATATTTGCGGCTGTTTCTTGTTTCTTTATTAGAACGTTAAATATATACGTCAAATTATCTCGCATCGATATGCAGCCCGCAGTATCTCAGTAGCCGGGGATAATTAGAAAATAAATGTTTTCTTCGCCTTCTGTGTTATGGTAGCCGCAGTCTATATATTATTTATTGCCGTTTAGGGTTGATTAGCCTGGCTGCTACAGTTGTTCAAATGATAATGATCTTCTCAAAAGGTTTTGGGAACTGAAGGCGGAACCTGAAATAAAAAAAGGAAAAAATGTTCACTTATGAAAAGAAACGTTGTGAAGAAATATTCAATAAAACAACTACGAGAGATGATGAAGGCAGATATGTGGTGCGACTTCCTTTGAAGAACGATCCTCCGCAAGTAGACGGCTCTATGGAGATATCTGAAAGGAGATTTTATACATTAGAAAATAAATTTAATAAAAATAAAACCCTAAAGGATAAATATACTGAAGTAATGGAAGAATATATAGATCTTAATCATATGGAGCTAGTACCAAAGGAACAATTGGATAATCCGTTGGTAATCTACTTACCTCATCATGCGGTAATACGAGAAGACAGAGACACGACGAAAATCAGGGTAGTATACGATGTTTCTTGTAAAGGTAAAAATAACATGTCTCTCAATGATAATCTCCTTATTGGACCTACCTTACAGCCAGCGCTGCGACATTTGGTCATGCGATGGCGTATTCCGCCCATCTGGCTCACTGCTGATATTGCAAAAATGTATCGGCAAGTGAAGATTTCCGATGCAGATGTGGATTTTCAGAGGATTATCTGGAGAGATAATGCTGAAACTGAGATGAAACACTATAGAATGCTGAGGGTGACATTTGGAACCGCATCTGCGCCTTACCTGGCAGTTAAAGCATTGCAGCAGTTGGCTCTCGATGAAGGTGATAGTTATCCTATGGCAGCTAAACGAGTAATAGATTATTACATGGATGACTTATTAACAGGATGCCAAACTAAGGAAGAAAGATTGACGATATTTTATGAAATGAATGAATTATTAAGTAAAGGAGGATTCGAATTGATGAAATGGACAAGTAATTGTGAAGAACTAGTAGAATCTATGAAAGAATCTATGAACTGTGTGGGGCTGTATTATTATCACGACTCTTATTAGAAGCAGCAAGAGTGCTAAGCATTGAAAAACGTAACATACGAGCATAGACAGACTCTACAGTAGTTCTCGCGTGATTAAGAGCCATCCAAGTAGATGGAAAGTTTTTGTAGCAAACCGTGTCTCAGAGATTCAGTCTAATTTGGATTCTCATAATTGGTCGCATATTAGCTCTAAAGAAAATACTGCTGATGCTGCATCTATAGGACCATCTCCATCAGAATTGATAGAAAATAGCATGTGCTTCAACGGTCCTGACTTTTTGCGAAACAGAACTATCAAATATGAGAAGTCCAAAGAAGTAACTACATACTTGGAAACGGTTAAATCACATTGTGCTGTTGCAGAAGACGGTATATGGGAGAGGTTTTCATCGTTGACAAGGATGAAAAGAGTAATAGCCTACTGTAAACATTTTGTAAATAATTCAAGATCATAACTTAACAAGAGAAACAGAGGCTGTCTGACCACGCAAGAACTAACTGAAGCACAAAATATATGCATTAAGCAGTATCAAGCATTTCATTTTAAATAAGAGATCTCGTTGGTAAAACAAAAGTGTATCTTACCTAAAAGTAGTAAACTCCGTTCGTTAAACCCAGTGATGGATGATGATGAAATCCTAAGAGTAGGTGGGAGATTGGAGCTTTCTGGCTTAAGTCGCAACCAAAAACATCCTATCTTAATACCCAAGAAGTGTCTTTTAACCAATTTAATTATTGCTGATGCCCACAAGAATACACTTCATGGAGGTCCCCAGTTGATGATCTGCTATATCCAGGCAAAATACTGGATCTTGGGAGTAAAACAATTAGTCAGGTCTTATTTCTGAAAATGTGTGACATGCGCTAAAAATTTCGCCAATACTCAGACGCAACTAATGGGCCAATTACCAGCAGCAAGAGTAACCCCAATACGTCCCTTCAAATGTAGCGGAGTGGATTATGTGGGTCCTATCCAGATACGAACTGCAAAAGGACGAGGGCATAAATCTCACAAGGGATATATATGCCTCTTTGTTTGTATGGCAACCAAGGCCATACACCTTGAAGTAGTCACGGATCTCAGTTCTCAAGGTTTCTTGCAGGCGTTTAAGCGATTAGTCTCCAGACGTGGTCGTTGCTCTGATTTATGGAGTCACAACGCAACTAATTTCAGTGGAGCAGCCAGCGAGCTGAAACGACTTTTCTTAACCAAAACGGATCAATGCTACAGGAAGTAGCTGAGTCAGTGGCTACTAAAAACTGTAACTGGCATTTCATCCCTGCCCGGTCGCCTAATTTTGGTGGTTTGTGGTGGGGTGAAATCAGTAAAGTACCACCTTAGACGTGTAGTAGGACAATCAACTTTGACTTTCGAGGAGATGTCAAGTATTCTAGCACAAGTGGAGGCTTGTTTCAACTCTAGACCGCTGTCGGTTATCGGAGTTGACTGCGAAGATATCATGGTCTTAACTCCAGGTCATTTCCTAGTGGGAGAGCCTATTGTGACTCCGCCTGACCAAAACTACGAATCTCACACTGTTAGTTCCTTAAGAAGGTGGCAGTTCACCCAAAGAATGTTTTTGCACCGTTATAAGTGGTCATCAGAGCAATCTCAGGCCAAGGTGGGTGACGTTGTTTTAGTGAAAGAGAACGGCTTACCACCTTGCCGATGGCTATATGGCAGAGTGATTGAAACTCATCCTGGAAAAGACAATTTGGTCAGAGTAATAACTTTAAAAACAAAAAATGGAACATTTAAACGTCCGATTTCCAAATTGTGTCTGCTTCCGATTGCGATTGAATAATGTAATGTAAATAAGTGTATAACTAAATTACAGTATAAATTTTCATGTGAAGTTCTAGATTACATATAAGTTAAAATTTGTGTTGTTGTTGAAGTACAAATGTGTGGGCGATTATGTTAAGATTAATTCAAACGTTGACGTCCAGATGGCGTTGCACAGTTTTGATTTATGTCAAGATATGTATTAAGATTAGTTCGGAGTTCAGACGACTACCTACAGATGGCGTTGTACAAATTTAAATCGCGGTATCAAGTAGTTTCAAGCGAACATGTAAGGTCATTGATTTAATTTAATAAATAACCTTTGTATTACTCTGAGTTCGTGGGTTTTATTTAAACTACCTATACCTCGAGTGTGTAAGAAAGTGAAGTACCACAAGGGAGCGACCATAGTATTTACACCTACACTTTGACACCTAATATCATCTTTGTGCAATAACGTCTAAATGAACTTTTTTCTGGCTGTCTAAAGTTATAATTGTACTTTGCAAAAGTTTACTGTAATAGCCCCAAATATTTAAAAATGAGAATCTGAAATATGTAAAATTGTTTAAATTGTGGCCTAAAATTGTTTTTTATTACCAGTTCAGTTCAAATCTTTAAACTTTATAGATACAAGTTGGGATTAAGATTCATATACCACATTAAATGAAAATAACTAAATTATTCATTAACTTACCTTGAAACACATAAATAACACATTTTACCACATTTTTTTAAATAATGTACGAGACAGTCACTTCCTCAGGTCGTACACTCACAGAGTACATTGTATATCAAAGAAAATAAACACTTAAGAGAAAGAAGCAGAAGACAGGGCGCAAAGGAACCAATATTTTGCACCTTACCAAGGAAATTGACTAACTTCCCTTTGTTGGTTTCGCTTTTTGTTTGCGCCCGTTCTGGGACTAATAATTTAAACAATAAAGTCAAATACCAATGCAAGCACGAACACAAAGTACTTTTTACAGTAATAATTATTTATAAGCCTTAGGCAACCTTGTTAGGTGGTTACAGCCGCCATACTAATTTCGCTTCTGCGTGCCTATATATTGTGGTTAATGTATGTTTAGTGTATATGCACATTTTACATTTATTGAATTTTTATATTGTATTTATGATGTCAATACTTGTGACAGGTCCTTTGTATCATATTATCCATAGCAAGTTAACATATACCGCTTACTAAATCATATAATAATTGTAGTTAACAACTAATTAACTGTTCTAACATACTTGTATGTTTGTAATCAATCTTTTGTCCATTTTATACTGTAGAAAACATATAGTAATTTAAATATGATATAAAATTAGGCAATGGCTGGTTTATACTATTTCCATTCTAGTCATTTAAAAGCTGTTGTATTGGAAACACTATGATGACAATGATCTCAAGAAAAAGGCATGATGTAGTTGAAAGAGAACTGAAAGAAGAGAAACAGTTTTGAGTGTGTAATAAATGAAAAAGGTGACTTAGGTACTTAAATGCCACACCATAGTATGGACCAATTTTTCAATCATCAGATGAAAGTTAACTACAATAAAATATGTACCTAGTTCAATTACAATGGACCCCCGGTAATCCGGCCGTTGTCTAATCCGGCATGGTCTATTATGTATTATTGAATATTTTTTGTACATTAATGCATAATTGAACAAGTTATAACTTGTACGCCCCGCCACTATTGTGCTCGACGCATATTAAATTTGATTATGAAAATGGTTGAAAGATCATAATTTTCCCCAAAAAGCTTTATTGCTTCTTGATAACGCTCTTAAATTGATGCTTCCTAAATTGATTGACTCATAATTTTTGATTATTTTAGTATGTACATTTGTTTCTACACAATTATTAATATAATAATAATAATAATAATAATAATAATAACTATATAGATACCCCATAATAATAATAATAATAATAATAAGAAGTGAGAAGTCGCTCCCGAGCCTCTTCACTACTGGGATCACTCATTTGGTTCCTAAAGATCAGGATACCACAGACCCGAGCAAATACAGCGCCGTCTGTATCACATCACATCACGTGTCTACCCACCATATATAAGACACTGACATCCATTTTGAGCGCGAGAATCACTCGTCACCTGGAGCTAAATCAGGTGATGTCACGCGCTCAAAATGGATGCCGGGGCGGTGGTCGTGGAACCAAGGAACCACTCCTCATTGACGCGGTCATTGGCAAAGTGGTGAAACGCAACCGTCGGAATTTCTCCGCCGCCTGGATAGACTACAGAAAGGCATTCGACTCGGTGCCCCATACATGGCTAAAGAGAGTCCTCCAGCTGTACAAAATTGACTGTACAGTTGGAGACTTCCTCGAGCAGTGTATAGGGCAACGGAGTACGATCCTTTGCTATCTGGGCGAGCGGATGATGGCTGCGGAGAACCACATAAGGATAAGAAGGGGTATCTTCCAGGGCGATTGTCTGAGTCCAATCTGGTTTTGCCTCTCCCTGAACCCTCTCAGTACTTTACTGGAGGGCTCCGGGAGGGGATTTCAGCTTCGGAAAGGAGGTACAAAAGTGACCCACCTTTTCTATATGGATGACCTCAAGTTATTCGCCTCCAGTCGCTCCCATCTTATGGAATTGCTAAACATCACTTGTGAATTTAGCAGTTTTATTGGAATGGAGCTGGGAACGGATAAGTGTGCGGTCCTCCATGTTGAAAGGGGAAGGGTTGCTAACTCTGAGGACATAGACTTATCTATGCCCGTCAACTTAAGGACCCTTTCCGAGGCTGAAACATACCGATACCTGGGTATGTCACAGAACATCGGTATCGATGAGGCTGGTATGAAACAGTCAGTTTGCGACGTGTTTTATGCACGCTTGACCAAAGTGCTTAACAGCCTTTTGTCCGGTGTGAATAAGACACACGCATATAACGGTTGGGTCATGCCTGTCCTCATGTATACCTTCGGCATACTCAGGTGGACCCAGACTGAACTTAACGCCCTGGATAGAAAAGTCCGCACTACCATGACGTCCCATAGGATGCATCATCCGAGATCGTCGGTAATGAGGCTGTACTTGCCGCGAAAGCATGGTGGACGTGGTTTTCTGAGCGCGCTCACCATGCATAATCGCGAAGTGGAAATTCAAAGCACTCTTTCAGGTCTTGTCTCTTCTTTGCTGCATGGGAAAATTCTGAAAATGTTTTCAGAACGATGTTTTCTACGTCAACTGGCAACATCTTTAAAGCATTTTTGGCACAGTTATGAATTATATGATCATTGCAATGGGCAGCGATGATGTTACTATTCTCTTCCTCTTTCAGTTTCTGGTACACCGAATTATTCACTCCATAATTAACAGAAGCGTTATCTGCTCCATACGCAGTTACTCTGCTCCAAGAAAGATCTGCTTCTGTTACGACTTTGGACAGATTGTGTGACAGGTGATTTTTTATAGATCGCGAGTCTTCGAATGGATCTTCGTAGAAATCTAAAATTTTTCGGCACATTCCAGATTTTGCTGTAAAATACTGAACGGCAACTGGGAACAACTTCTTGTTTCCTTTATTCGACGCATCAGTAGCGACGGAAAAAGGCCTAACTTCTTTCAAATCCTCTTGGACCAGTTTCATTGAATAAGAGTACAGAACTTGATTCACAATGGCAGTGCATTTGGTGCGCCCTCCGGTCATTTGTTTCACGATTTCCGAATCTGTGATGGTTTGTTTTCTGACCTTTAATGAACAATCTTGAGCCAAATAGGAGATGTGATGTTTTACAGAGTGAAAAATATCTGCTAACTCGGCAAGACTTACTTTTTCACTCTGTGCGCTTCCTTTAGGCGTAAAGAAAGAGTCCATTCTTTGGGACTTGGCTTGCGCACTTTCCGCCTCTTTATGCTTTTTTATAGAGGCATGCTGGTTCACCCCCTTCAAACCTTCAGCCACAGCAAATTCATTTCTACAAATTTTACAGTAAGCTCTAGTGTCGACGTTGGCTTTAGTTATCCAAGAATATTTATTTTCCCAGTCTTTATTATAATGGCACATTCGTCTTATTTTCTTTGGCGGTGTTGCAGAACTGGTGGAAGCTTCTTCTTCCTCCATTTTCCATTAGCTTTGTGTAAAACTCAACAAACAGTCAAAAACACAAACATACACTCAACTTCGACGAACAAATTTGCTTGTTTCAACGAGTAGGTACTTAGGTCAACTGCGTAAACACTCCCGAACGTTGCGTAATCTAATTATCGACTAGGTAAACAAAACTCGAAAAATCAAAACAAAACACACCGGACGCGCGCGGGTGGGGGAGTGGACGCAGGCAGCGAGTACGAGTGAGTGAGACGAGTATACAGTGGTGAAGTGAGAGCCCGCAGACACAGATACAAACTGCGAGCGAGAAGCGCGCGCGAGTTTTGCGTTTAGGGATTTCATATGCCTACTTTTGTAGGCGCTTGTGACCAGTAGTACCGACTTTCCTCAAAATACCGGACATTGTTCTGTCCGGTATGACCATTTATATTTTACCGGACAGGCCTCGAAAATACCGGACTGTACGCTTAAATACCGGACATCTGGCAACCCTAAACACACATGTAAGTGGGTACTTATTAAGCTTATAATGTGTATTAATATATGCTCATTTATATACTATTAATGCACACTTCTATTTACGGATCTCCTTCACCAAGGCATAGAATAAATAATATGAAGTGCTACTCGTACGTTACCAAGGCAAGGTTTGCCAGGAAGAGATCAATGTTAAGCGATGAGGACACCTAATTGTACATAAAATATGTTGTGTGCAATAAAGAGTATTGTAGCAGATGTTAGGGTTTACTTTGGTTTGTAAGAGTTTGTGCTCACAGAAAGACGTGTTTACTACGTGATGATTTATTTGCAACAGTTTTTACAAATTATGCTTTTAAACATTGAACCTATATACACATGCATACGTATTCACACTTACGCTCGCTCTCACACTCGTATAGATCAGTATATCCGAACATACCGCCCACCAAAGGGCCTATTAGCCCTTTAAAAAATTTATTACACGTTACAACGTTTTGATTACAATGGACTCAAAGATAACACAAAGAAAAAATAAAGACACAAAACCTGTACACAATTAAACTTATAGAATATAGATAAAAACAAATTGCCTTAGTTATAAATAAAATAAATCATGATTCAATGTCTATTGGTAAGTAACACAGCTTAATTACAGATCTTGCACGACACTAGCACCACTTTTTACACTGTATACACGAGTCATCATCCATTTACCTGGGGGCAATCTATCTGATCTTATGAAGACAATGTGACCTTACTGTGGCGTTAAGTTTTGCACAAATGAGACATTTTCTTATCCTTGATTTTACTAATCTTCTAGCTCTTAGGATCTTGAATCTTGTTCGTAAAAAGCAGAGCATTACTTGAACTCCACCGTGTAGCGTTTTAGAGTGTGCATCAGCAACGAGAAGAGAGGTAAGATAGGTGTCATGATCAAGGATAATTGGATTTTTGCTGTCTTCATTTAGGTTTGAGTGACGCAGTCTGAGAATATTATCATCGTCCAGGTAAGGTTTTAAACTCTTTAGTTTACTGGCTCTTTTAATTTGTTACTTTGATTTTAGGTGCTGTATTTCCTCTTCGAAGCTGTCCCTCTGAGTTATTTTTATGCAGGTTTTAAGCGCATCATTAAGTTCCGTCGTAATACAAAGACTTACCTGTGACCACACAGGTAAGTCTTTGTATTCCATTTTCTTTCCCTTTAAGAATCTTTTAGAATATATAATCAGCTTAAGCGGTTCTGGCAACTTGTCGCAACCCTTAAATTTTGTACTAATACTCTTCTCTTTGTCAAATTTACATGTATTGATTTCCTTCTTTCCAGGTCTGTCCAGGTTGAATTTGGTCTGCTGTATTGTATTTCCCCTACTCTCAGCCACTCTGGGCCCTTCCACCACAGTTCATCATTTTTTAGCTCTTGCAATGATTGCCCTCGTGAAGCGGAGTCAGCTGGGTTTTCTGGCGACTTGACATGATACCAATTATGATTGCCGATTGTGTCAAGTATTTCAACAACCCTGTTTCTCACATAAGTGCTCCATCTTGCAGGGTCACCAAACAACCACGAGAGTACAATGGTTGAGTCAGTCCAAGCAAATATCTGACAGGCAGGTACGTTCATTGATTCCTTTATCTGTTTTAAAAGACTAGCAAGCAATACAGCGCCACTTAGTTAGTTCCAGACGAGGTAGGGATTGTGGTTTTGTAGGTGCGACCTTGGTTTTAGCAGCGATAATTGATGTCTTCACTTCACCACTTTCTGTTCTTTACTCTTAGGTAGACTACTGCAGCGTAAGCTCGAGATGATGCTTCACAGAATCCGTGGATAGTAACATTGTTTAGTGTGGCTTCAGTAGTATTTAACCATCTGTTTACTTCGATATCAGGTAGGTACATATGAAACGAATCTCGTATATTGTTCCTGGTTGCGCGGAAAACCATTCGTATTTATTTTATTTGACGGTAGGCTGCGAAATCGGTTACCCCTTTCCAAAACGATATCATTCATACCCTCCTATCGACACATCGGGGTGGTGGGGTGGGAGGGGAAAGAAGATGATTCTAGAATATCACGTAATCATCGCAACCGAAGATATAAAAGGCACGCGCGACCGACGCGCGCCCTCTTCCCGCCGCGCTCGTCGTTGAAACCACACCGCTTCTCTTCCGACGTACCTCTGGGGCCCCAGAGTGTCTGTCCAGAAGAAGTTCCAGAGGTCGCAGCTATAGTGCTCAACAGCATAGAAGACTGAACCCCGGTGAGTCAATATTCCTAATAATATATCCTGCTTGATATAACTGTGTTATAACCCGCTCCAATTTTGTTTTCTCCTAATCAAGCAGGATTCCTTTCATCGATTTGGCAAATAATAGTTCGTTTTTTAGGGAAGAGCGAGTGCATTGTACCGCATGCTTAGTCGCCGTTTATATAAGTGTAGAAACATTTTGTAGATACAGTCCACTTAGATTAATAGCTCGCGTAATAGGTTTTAAGGTTCGACCGGGGAATTAGACTTCGGCCACCTTAGGCTCGACGCTCCACCATTTTATGGTCACTTCGGCAGGATTTGGACTGGTGTTTAGTAGTCGTTCAACCATTTTCTGGTCAAATTATTAAATTAATTATTTAGATAATGCACTCTAGTTTATGGAATAGTCTTAAATAGTGATCGTTTAAATTTAAATTTTGGTTAGGTACTCGCAAACAGAATTATTTATTTAAATAGTGTTTGTATTTGGTTTAAATTTAAAGCTTATTAGTCGCTTAAATAATTGAAACAGTGTAATAGCAATCGTTTTGTACGCTTACCCGACAATTTTGATAAAAATATTGAGTTTAGCGAGCGACACGCGTAACAGGTGTTCGATTTAATTACGTAATACGGCATACGAGTGTCCATCCTTCATTATTTGTGCGTTGTGAGATTAATTGTGATTAAAATAACTTTATTACAATAATTTAAAATGGCAGTTAGTGGAAATGAAATTAAAATTAAAACGCTTTATGCCAAGAGGGACATACTTTTTTCACGTATACAAAGTATTAGTGATCACATAAAGAACATCAATGTTGAAGCAGTGCGGAAAACTTTTTTGAATGAAATTGAAACGGTGGATTATTTGCGGACGGATTACGAAAGAATATTAGACCAAATTAATCATTTGGAATTACAAATCGACCCGAAATACATAGTGAACTACCAACCGCTTCTAGCATTTGAAGATATGTTGTGTCGCGTGAAAAGAACGGAGAAACTCTTACAATCTCAAAACGAAGCAAAGCCGGAAATACAGGTACGTCCACGTGACTCAATTAGGTTGCCGCCAATAGATATTCCGGTATTCAATGGTGATATTAAGACATGGCCCTTCTTCTTCAGTAGTTTTCAAAACAATATACACAATAATCCATCGTTATCGGACGCTGAAAAATTATATTATTTAATTAGTTAACTTAGTGGCAGGGCATAGTCAATTTGCTCGGGTTTTACACCTACAGCAAACAATTACTTGTTAATATTCGAAACGCTTAAAACTAAATAAAATATATAAAAGATAGGAGAATGTTAGCTTCCGAATATTTGAACCAGATATTCGATCTTAAACCTATATCATCCGCGAACATAACGGCTTAGAGCAGTTTTTAGATAAATTTGTGGCATCGGTGGCTGCACTTAAGAATTTGAAATTTAATGACCTTATGGACGTGGTGTTTCTCCATATTGCACTAAAGAAATTAGACCCCGACACCGTGCGTGCGTTTGGAATGGAGCATCGTAGCTCGGAGATGCCTTCCTTTCATTCACTAGCATCGTTCGTGCGAGATCAAATAAAGGTGATGCAGCGCTCTCCGAACGTTAAACAGGAGATTAAAAGGTGCGTCGACCGTAGACAGACTCAACCATCTAAAATAGCAGGGTCGTTAAACTTACGTAACCGCTACGTCAGCATCACTTCAGCATGCTTGCATCGTATGTAAAGATAAACACGGTAATTTATATAATTGTGCGACTTTTCGTAAATATTCACCAAGCGAACGTTATAAATTAGTAAAGACAAACAACCTATGTCTGAACTGCTTAAGTGATAAGCATTTAGTTGCAAAATGCAATTCGAGTTCCGTATGTAGCAAGTGCGCCAGGAAACATCACACGCTATTACATTTTGAAAATAGCAACATAGCAGCGTCAAGTAAAGCGGATAAGGAATTCACCCCTACTAAAGTCAACGATTCTAGCGGTCGACCTGGTGATGTCGCTCTGTGCTCATTGGCAAATATGGGAGCACAACCTCCTTCAACCGTGTTACTGGGTACGGCGCGTATTTTGCTTAGGGATTCGCGTGGGAAACGAACAAAGCGTCCGTGCACTGCTGGACAGCGGAGCCCAAAATAGCTTTATAACGCGACAATGTTGTCAGCGCTTAGGCTTAGTAATAAATAGGTCACTTTCATGTCCTGTAGTCAAAGGCATCGGAGGTACTAGTAAAGCTACCCAGGGATATATAAATTTAAAATTTTATTCTCGGATAGA